TATACATATTAATTCCTTGCGCAATTATACTATTTCACAGCGCGCGGCAACTTAATTTGGTAAATAATAAAACCTGGCAGTGGTATGCAGTGACCGAGCAGCTAGCTGACAGGCATGCTAGTGTGTTGTGGTGACAGTGTGCATGGGCGTGGAACAAGTGGAAGACCAAGGCAGCCCCGTCGATAGAGAGAGAGAAAGAGAAAGGCCACTTGTCCGCTCTCACCGGCCACTCACATGTTGACAAGCCACAGCAACATCCAACGCCTCCGAGTTCCGGCTCATCTTTTGGCATTTCAATTTCAGTCAGAGACTCCGGGTCCCAGGGCAACAGCCAGCCACATTAGGGACTCGCCTGGTTCGATGCAGGTGTATCTATTTTAAACTATATATATGTTAGAGTAAAATAAAGTAGAATTTAGTTTAATTTTACTTTAATCTATTTCAACGTATATGGATTAAGATGAATATGTACGCATCTTAACAAGGTCGTATTCTTCGTGAAACTGACAGAACATGCTGTTAACAAGGTCGTATTCTTCGTGAAACTGACAGAACATGCTGTCTGTATTGAAAAACACTCGCCGCTGCTGACGGCTCCGTTAACAAAACCTAATAACTCCAGTCTACGAGTGTTTTTGTCTGCTAGTAGCAGCAAAGCAAACACCGTGCCAGACACAGCACCGAAAGGCTGCGGCTGCGGTAGGTGTGTTGTTGGCTAGTGGCCAATGCTATTCTCTTGCTATGCATTAGCGTGTGTGATTTTAGGCTTGTCTAGATGACATCAAAGTTCCAAGTTTTTTCACTCTCTTTATGTTACATCAATTTTTGGATAGGAGTATTAAATGTAGGTAAAAAAAGTAACTAATTGCATAGTTTTGTTGTAAATCATGATACGAATCTTTTGAGCCTAGTTAATCCATGATCGGATAAAATTTGTCAAATACAAACAAAACGTGCTACAGTGTCCAGATTACAAAAATTTGCAATCTAAACATGGCCTTCCAAACCCCTCTAGTAGCTACTCAACAATAGCTAGCAGTCTTCTTGGCCATTTCAAAAGTAACGCCTTGTTTAGTTATACCTTAAATTTCAAAAAATTGCTACAGTACCTGTCACATCGAATGTTTGTGGCCCATGTATGGAGCATTAAATGTAGACGAAAAGAAAAACTAATTGCACAGTTTGGTGGGAAATTACGAGACGAACTTTTTGAGTCTAATTAGTCCATGTTTAAACACTATTTATCAAATAAAAACGAAGGTGCTACAGTAACCCCAAAATCCAAATTTCGCGAACTAAACAAGGGCTAATATGGCATATGTTTTCGACCACTCGCAGATTCAGACAGATGAAAATGGAGACCGTTGCGTTCCGCGTAGGAAAACAAGTACAAGTAGGACAGCCTAAACTCACAGCCATAAAGTTTTTTTTTCATTATATAAGAGGGTATATATATATATATATAGCGCAGTACAGATAGTTCTCAACATTGTATAGAATGCAAAAAGGAAACACCAAGACACAGTAGACGTAAACACCCGAGCTCGTTGCCACGTACTTGCAAGTTCCCCACACTCAAACGTTATGACTTTATTTTGGCACGTATTTTGAGGGTCCAAAAGAAACCTCAAAATGGAAAAGGAGGATCCTTTATAAAAGCAAAAAAAAAAAAAAAAAAAAAAAGTGGAGAGCACACTGATCACCTGTCAAAATCAGCAGTGTCCTGAACAGAACTCCTGATTAACGTGTACTACTATCCACCAAAGCACGGTTACATTACAAATATTCGTCCCTACACACTACCATGCTTACTGCGATGTTGACAGTTGAAGAGGTCGATGATATCTGTGTGACAATTTTCTAATCCCTGAATCCCAATGAGCCATACAAATTTGTCTTTGCCCCTAGGGGACGGTTTCAGACACATACACAGTTCATACGAAATATATACGTATATATCATAGGTTCCCGCAATTGATAAATCTGGTATAAGGATCATCAGCAAATCAGCAAGGGAAGTGATATGATCCAGCATTTGGGAAAACAATTATTTTTCTGGGCTTTGCATTCGGAATTTGGAGACTGTCTTGCACCTGTTCGTCGAATGCCCCCTCTCCCGCACCATTTGGGAGCATGTAGCTATCTGGAGTAACTGTGAGAATTTGCACCCTGCACAATGGGGCGAAGCAATGGACGTTGAGGATTGGTTCTTGAAGATAATAGAGTCGGGAAGCAAAAAGGCCCACACCTTGGCTATCCTCACGCTATGGTGCATTTGGGGCCAACGGAATGCCGCTGTTTTCAATAACAAAACAAGCACTGCGGCACAAGTGTTCGTTCGGATCAAAGACGAATCCCTCCTGTGGGCTAGTGCTGGAGCAAAGGTCCTCATACCTCTCTTTGTTGAAAATAATTTTATGAGTAATTAGCTAATGCTCTTAAACTCCCCTGTAGCGATCTGCTGCAGTGGGCTGCGCTTCTCGCGCTTCTAGGTTGTAAACTCTCTTCCGTCTTATTAATATATAGCCGGGCAACCAGGTCTTTAAAAAAAAAGATATGATCCAGCGTAGCGCTAAGTACATAATAATTGGGTCGAAAGGAAAGGCAGGGAAAGGAAACCTGAAAATGAAAAGGAGAATGCTTAAAGCAGGGCCAGGAGAGGAGACCCCACCGATCCTCATCTGTCAGGATCAACTGTCATATACCACTGTCCACCGAAGTACGTTTACACTGAATAAATATCTGTTCTGTTCACTTGAGATTATTCAAAACTACTTGAGTTTATTTATAACTATTTTTTAATCATGGAACAATGTTTTTTTTCTCATAATATTTCAGCATAAGCACCAACATAAACTAAATTTCAGCATCAGCGAACATGTGATTACTAACTCCAACACACGATTACTGCGACAACGACATTCGACAGAATCTTAAACCGTTTTTTTATCTCTCTTTCCCTGATGATATTTGTCAAAGCATTTTGCTTACCAGCATTTTATCATTGTTCTGAATAAAGCCGTTTGTCATAGGAGATAGTCCAGTTGCAGCAATCGTCTCCATTTGGTGTTTTGACGGTAGCAGAATTTAGTCATGATTCTTGTGTCGCAATCAGGCCTGGTCGCAATACAATTACCATCTCTTCACTTGAGACCACACACATGGTCTCCCCGTGTCGCGGTCTGCAAGCGGAGCGATGGTAACGCCATGGAAATGGAAGCAGCGGTAGAATCAGAAACTAGTGCCCGTCAGGCTCCTGCATTTGGTTACTGCTCATACATACGTCTTGTTTAAATCCAGGGTGTAAAGTTTTAGAGTGTCACATCGAGTGTTACATGAGATGTCGTATGGGGTGTTCGGATACTAATAAAAAAATAAATTACAGAATCCGTCAGTAATCCACGAAACAAATTTATTAAAGCTAATTAATCCATCATTAGCATATATGTGGGCTGTAGCACCACCTTGTCAAATCATGGACTAATTAGGCTTAAAAGATTCGTCTCGTAAATTAGTTGTAAATTGTGCAATTAGTTATTTTTTAGTCTATATTTAATACTCTATTCATGTGTCCAAACATTTGATGGGATAGAAAATAAATTTTACGGGGAAGAACTAAACAAGGCCATACATGCTAACAGCAACTCTTGCTACCGCTGCTTATTTTCTGAAACAGAAATAACAAAGGTTTGTGGAGGTACCCTTGCTAGTTACTACAAGTGCTTTTCAATTTTCAAGCGAACTCAAATTCTGACACATGTTTTGAATCCGTCTTTAGAAAGAGGCCGTGACAGCTGCAACACTCGAGACTTTGAACTTATCGGCCTGTCTTATTAGCTATAGTATAATATTTTTTCTTTTATAATAAATCAACGAACAATACTTTTCAGTGTATCTTTTGAGCGAAGGCCTCTGAAGTAGGTGGTGCTAGCTTGAGACATTCCTAACTCCTAGCGTGAATATTTTTCAAACCCACTAGCGCTACTCTTATCCTCTGTGTCCTTGTCATTGGTTCAAAGGCCCTCAAGAAATTCCTAATGTTCCAGAAAACAAGGGAAACATTTCTAATTTCCTAAAAAGACCATGAATAAATTGATACTTTTCCCGCTTAAACTACTTTAACAGTACTTTTCAGCGAACGAACAGTGATTTTCCTCTCGCAACAAATCAACAAAGCCAAATTTCAGCGAAACGAACGGGGGCATTTTCCCTAAACGAAGAATCGCTAGTTTTTTTTTTTAAGCCAGAGCAATTTTGCTCTCTGTCTGTCCACGGCAAAACTAAAGCAGGGCCAGCTGATAGAGCAGAGCAGCCGGCCGGTCGGTGCCGGAGATTTCTGAAGTGGCAGCACGTACAGTATGGAGCAACCGGCAACGCACCCAGTGGGGCAAACTCGCAAAAAGGGCACAGAATTCCAATGCTCACATCACATGCGCCACAACATGTCTACCGCAGGCCTCAAAGCTGAAGCTCTGAAATCCTGCATTCCTGCAGTGCTACTGCTGTGTACAGGATGGTGGCTTCAACAGGATAACGCACACTGAACACACCCGCCTCAAGCGAGAAGCTTCCCCAAATAAAATACAAAATGCAACCAAATTTGAACAAGAACACCTCCAAAACGTTCCCAAATAAAGGAGGGGAACGTTCGAAAAAGAGGGAGAAAAATGGGAACGGAAGATAGTAGTAGGCTAGTGGCAGAGTCGTAATACGGCGCTAGGCCGGGGGACCAGCCTGGTATATGCGAGGAAATTCATCCACGCGGTAAAGCGAACACCCCCCCCCCTCGCTTTCTTCAACACCACGTTTCCTTCTCCTGCCGCCCTCCCTGTCCCCTCTCCCCTCTCCCCTGTCCCTGCCCTTCCTCCGCGGACGGACGCCCCCTAAAATCCCCAATCCAATCCGACCATCAAACCCTAACCCCCCCATTCCGCACTCCCTCACCCCCCGCGCTTCCTTCGCCGCTAAGCATACCCCCTCCCCCCCACGCCGCGATCCCGATGGCGAAGACGGCCGTGATGGAGCTCCGGACGCTGCCGCTCGGCTTCCGCTTCCACCCCACCGACGAGGAGCTCATCACCTACTACCTCAAGGGCAAGATCACCGGCCAGATCAACTCCGAGGCCGAGGTCATCCCCGAGATCGACGTCTGCAAGTGCGAGCCGTGGGACCTCCCAGGTACTTGCTTGCCTCTGCTCATCGTCCGCTTCGCTTGATCGCCCGTCTCTGCTCTCGATTTTTTTCTTCGTTCCTCTTATTTTTGTGCTCCATGTTCGTACACGGTAGTCTCTACTGGGATTTCCGAGTTCTTGATGGGCTACTCGGTGCTTAGAGTTACATCTGCAATTCTTTTTTTTATCAGGATTCGCTTCCGGTTGGTGTCCGATTTGGGGGTTGTGGTCAGATGTTGCCAGACTTTCTGTTTCTTCGATTTGCACTCGGAATCGCACTATTTCGTTCAATCCGTTCCCATTCTCGCGATTCTCCCTTCTCCGTGTTTCCGTCGCCAGCTACCGCGCGAACCTTCCTGCTGCGGCAGTCTGACGCCTTTGCGCTGAAAAAGCCGAGCAGGTTACATCCGCTGCTTCCTCCGTTCTGTTTCGCGATTGCTTGCACTAGCGGTTCCTTAAGAAATACTAGTTCTGTGCTGGTTCGATGCGATTCTCTCGAGCTCCGCTAAATCCTTTATTTAATACCGCGTCCCCCTTTCCAAGATGCGATTTGATTTGGTGCGATGCAGCTGAACAAAATCCTTGCGCTGCGCCGATTCATTTTGTTGATCCGCGTGTCGAGTCGAGCCAAACTCCCGGGAAAGATTATTCCAATTTCTGATCCGGTGTACTGATGACGTGATTGTGTATATGCAGATAAGTCAATTATCCAGTCCGACGATCCTGAGTGGTTCTTCTTCGCGCCCAAGGACCGCAAGTACCCCAACGGTAGCAGGTCGAACAGGGCCACCGAGGCTGGATACTGGAAGGCCACTGGCAAGGACAGGATCATCAAGTCCAAGGGTGACAAGCGCAAGCAGCATACCATTGGTATGAAGAAGACCCTTGTCTTCCACCGCGGACGTGCCCCCAAGGGTGAGCGCATAGGGTGGATTATGCACGAGTACCGCACCACCGAGCCTGAGTTCGATTCCGGCCAGCAGGTATGAAGCTATTATCTCCTCGGTGCAGCTTATGGTTGTAGTTTTGCACTGTTGTTAGTGTTTGTACATATGTGTACTTTAGTACTTATAAGTTTGTCTTTGATAAATATAACATAGTAGTCTGTTCAGTGTTCACTGAAGAATGTGTCCCTAAACACTAGTTTGATTTCAGGTGGTTAAAAGAACTGAGTTCTAATGATCTTCACAATTAGTTCTCTACAGTATAAGCACATAGTAAATGGTATCTCATGTTAAATGTTTACTAAAATTTCCTGGTGCTTATGTATCTGATTCTTTCAGGGTGGTTATGTTCTTTATCGCCTCTTCCGGAAGCAAGAGGAGAAAACTGAGCGCCCCAGCCCAGAGGAAATGGATAGAAGTGGCTACTCACCTACTCCTTCTCGTTCTTCACCTGACAACCTAGAGGCGAATGAGGAAGCTAATACACCATTAAATAAGGAATCTCCAGAATCTGCTCTGCATGATCGGATTGAGCTGCCACATTCTGTTGAAACCCATGTTGGGTCAGTGACAAGGTGGCTGGCAGACAGAAATGATAACTTGGTGGCTACTGCACCAGATGTTTCCCATATACCTTCCCACGGACATGCTGCTGGTGTACCTAAGGTGAGCATAACAGAGTAAAGAGCCTTTTAACCTGTATCGGCATTCAACATTTGGCTGCACACTATCGACTCTCGTAATTACAATTTTATAACTGAATTTTTCCTAACAATTTCCCTCATCTTTATAATTACAAGCAGGTTGATCCTTCAGCTGGTGCTTCAGCCCACTTGGTTAATCCCCAGAATGGAAATGACGATTATAACAACTTTGTGTCTGGTTTCCCCCCCATTCTACCACTTGAAAATGCATTCTTACCTGATATACAGCAAGGAGCTTTTGGTTTTGATGGCATCATGAATCCTCCTGATGCCCTGGATGCTTTCTTAAATCAAACACTTGTTGATCCTGATGAACATTCATCAACAACATCAAAAGTTCAGTATGATTCTGACATTCTAACAGAATTTGAGAACCAATGGAATATGCAGGTATTTTTTCTATTCATATTGAGTTCGCCATCTGATGTTTTGGTTATGGTTAATCCAGCAATCCTTATATTTTGCTATCTTTGCAGGTTGAGCCTCAAGATGATCGAAGCTGTTTGGCAAACATAGGTTTCGAGCCAGATGAGCCAAACCCTCTGCTTCCTTTTGACATCACTGACCAAGACGTACTTTCGGTAGACTCTGGTGCTGATTCCTTCAATGAGCTGTTCAATAGCATGGAAGATCCGACTGGAATTGCTCTTAGGCCTCAACAGTTGGACTCCACTGTGCCACCAAGCTATGTGTTTGCTAACCAGGGCAATGCAGTAAGGAGGCTGCGGCTAGAGGTTGTTGAGTGTAGGGAGATCATAACTAAAGATGAGAGTGAAGATGAAGTATCATGTGTTGTAACTCCAGACTGTTTGAATGAATCTGTTGAGGAGTCCACCGTAGAGAAGGATGTGGCTTCTGATGGGGATGAGGCTGAGTCAACAGGGATTGTTATTAGAAGCCGTCACCCTGCTCCAAGTTCAAGCTCAGAAATTTCATTCACTCAACAGGGAACTGCTGTGCAAAGGCTGCGGCTACAGTCAGGCCTTAACAAAGGCCCGTATCCTAGTAGTGATGATTCATCAAGCTGCATCATAGACGAATCAGAAAGTCAGCACAAAGCAGAGAAAGCAGAGGTGATTGTCCCTTTCGTTACTCAGAAGCTAAATTTAGAATTGTTTTGTGCTAGTGATGATCTGTACCTAGGATATTCCATAGATATACTAGTTCTGTTAGTGTGCGGCTACTACTTCCTCCGTCCCAAATTATAAGACGTTTTGACATTTCTAGATTCATAGTTTTTACTATGTATCTAGACATAACATATAGGTGTGTAGCTAAAGTTATGAATCTACAAAAGCCAAAACGTCTTATAATTTGGAACAGAGGGAGTATTATGCAGTGTTTTCTTCTGAAATCTTCATGGATCCTGGGTGATCTATTTTAACAAAACAAATGATACTATCTGACTTCTCTTTTCAATGTTCTATCAGATCGAAGAGGATGCAAGCACAAACCTTGCTGGAAGTGTTGATGATCTACCTGGCAATAGCCATGATGATGAGCAAAAGAACATCCCTGAACATGGTAATAAAGCTTTGAAACTTTTTGTATATTGTCTCTTTGTGATAACTTCTACTTTTGCTAAGCTAGTTTAATATGTTGTTGAACTGCAGATGCTGAAACGGCTGTTCCAGAAGCCAAATCTGTTCTGAGGCTGCGGAAGACTTCTGAGGAAAGCAACAAGGATGTCAAGCAGGAGGATTGTCTCGGGCCACACATGAGGGCACCAATGCAGAGGGGGGCTTCCAATCATACATCTGGCTGGTTCTTTCGGTGGCTCTGGTGCTGCTTCTCTGTGTTGGGGCGTATGGATGGGTGTGAAATGTATCCTGGTGCGGTGCAAGGCATGGCATTTTGCGCACATGGGTTCCTTGCATCAGCCTGGTGGGTGGTCTTTTGTACATAATAACCTGGGTTACGGTATGCGTCCAACAGCCGTAAGAAATCCCGGCATGCCAAGGCAGCTGAAAAATCAAAAAGAGAGGTAGCAAGTGAGAAGTGAGAAAAAAAAAAAAGAGAGAGGTTATTGTAGGTCTTAGTACATCGTAGTCTTCTTTTGCTGTTGATGCAGATGTCTTTCTAATGTCATAGCTGTTGTGTAGTTGTAGTAAATCATGCCCTCGTCGGCTGGTTTTTTATTTCCTGATGTAATGTAGCAAGAGCAAGACCCTGTTAGACGGGTGCGCTGAAGTCTGAACCTCTGTATTATCTGATGTTTCTTCTTGTAGATAGCTGTTTCAGAATTTTTGGTTGCTGAACCCTGTTACTGGTAGCTTGTTGATCTGTTTTCTGTGCTGCTATCTGACGGGACTATTGTGGTGAGTTCGAATTCGTTGTGACGACATGCCACAGCATGTGTCGGGTACTACAATTGTGAATGCGTTGCTTAAATTTTGTAATAAATTTATAATATATATTGCTGTTGCTCTGTGCACGTATGGTGAGGATCTGACGAGGTTGCGGCTGAAGTTTCGTGTCTGTCAATCGCTTTCCAATACAGCTGTAGCTTCCTGTCGCTATACTGGTATTCTGGTGTGTGCTTTACTATTATTCTGAGAGCTGTCTTGTGAGCCGCTTTATTTCTGATTTTGGGCTGTGCTAAAAGCTAAATGTGAAAAAAAATCAAGTGAAAAATGCGGAGCAAATCAATGCACAGAATGGGAACGCTCCTAGTCCTAGGATGTTCCTGGTGACTTGGTGAGGGAGGGCTAAGGTCCGTCCTTCATATATGCAGGGGTCCTTCACAATGGTAGCCTTTGCTGTTGGTGAAGCCGTCCTTCATATATGCAGGGGTCCTTCACAATGGTAGCCTTTGCTGCTAAAGCACTTCCAACAGGGTTCCTTCGTCCTGTTCGCTGATGCTGAAATTTGACTTATGCTGAAATTTTATAAGAGGAAAACACTATTTTATGGTGAAAAATAGTTATAAATAAACTCAAGCGAACAGGCGCAACGTTCTTGCCATCAAGCCTGTTGGCACTTATCCATATGACCCAGAACATTGTAAAACGATGCGACCTTTTTTTTTACTGTCAACTGCATTGTGAGCTTTTCACATGATAACTGTACACTTCGGACAAAAGTAAGCGATCTCAATGCAAATGGGTGAAGCACAATTGGCACAGAGACATCGGACCACTGGTCGAACTGGCATATCGCTGAATTAAGCGTCTATATTATTGTTGTTTAAATAAAACCCAAAGACTATAACAAGTATTTGCAAATTCAATTAGCTTTTTTTTAAAGAAATTAACAGCAAAAGCAAATCTTTTTTTTCCTCTGTGCGCCCCCCCCCCCCCCACACACAAAAAAAACTATTGTTCTCCTTTTGTCGTAAGTCAAATTATCTTAAGTTTAACTAAAATTATGGATACAATTACCAACCTTTTTATGACACCGAGAAATATGTTGCATGATGAATCTAAGGACTCTATTTGGTAGGGCTTTTATGAGGTTGTTCACCTAGCTTAATTAAGGGTGTGGTTGATATGGCTTCTTGCGGCTATGGCTTTTTCTATACCTATATTGTAACAACACTACTCACATGTGCCATTTTACCCTCTCCTAGCAAACTAAATGTGGAGTCGGAAGAAGCCATGATCTGTGGCTCCTTCGGTTGCGGTTCCTCGATACTGTAGCGCGGAGCCGGAGCTTGAAGGAGCCCGGCCAAACGTACATAAGATAAAATGGCTTATGAAGCCAAAAAAATCAAGCAAAAAATGAAGTTGAAACTGTTTTTTGCCTCAAAGCTAAAGCAAAAAATAGCTTTTCTATCATTTCTAAAAAATAAAAAAACCTTGCCAAAGAGGCCTTAATAATACTTTGGTCCTGTTCGGATTCGTTATCTGCTAATAATTAGCCGGCTAATAGCTCATATTAAATATTAGCTAGCTAACTATTAGCTATGTCGGTGCAGAAAGTGACCAACACGTAAATATTTGTAGTTTTGTCGTACGTTGTGATCGGATGTGGCCTAGCACTCAATGACACAGGGTTTATACTGGTTCAGGCAACGTGCTCTACGTCCAGTTTGAGTCGGTCGGTGACTTTATTTTTGAGCCTAGGTGCTCGAAGTTTGCTGTGTGGTTACAAACGGAAGGAAGAAAGATGGGGGGTGCAAGAAGTCCGGTCGGACTCTGGTTTGAAGAGCCGAGAGTGACGGGAGCTCCGCTATGTGATAAGTGTTCGGGCGTGTGACTCGAGGTTTGAACCTAGTGGTTCTATTGTGGTGTGTGAGTGAACTGGTCGATCTCTTCTTTTGGGAGAGAGCGCATCCCCTTTTATAGATAAAGGGGATGGCCTTACAAGTGAGAGAGGGAGGTGTACGTATGTTAAGTCTTGTTGCCCATGCCGTCGGATACAAGATGATTATAGGCGCCCCTAACACTGTTAATGTCAGATGCATGTGGGAGGTTACGTCGTCTTCTTCTAGTATGGCAGATGTCGGTGCCTGCCATACTGTTGATGCCCAGAGGCATGTTGGGGATTTTACCATGTTCACCTGGTATGGTAGATGCCGGCACCCACAACACTGTTGATGCCCAGAGGCATGTGGGGGAGCCTTATCGTGTTTGTCTGGTATGGGAGTTGATGGCGCCCACAACACCGTAGGGAAAATATCGGCGCCCACAACACTGCTTGGGTTCTGACATGCCTAGAAGGTTTCAGGGCACTCTTCTGACATGTCATGTTGGTACTGTCCTGTAGGTATACAGGGTACGGTCCTCGGTATTGTGGTTGACTTGAGTGCCATGCCTTACTTTCTTCGTCCGTTTCCTGGTCCTCATCGAGCGGGCGTCCCCGGATTGCACCAGTCGAAGAAGAGCTGTAAGCAGGGGTTCGACGCATCCCCGGTCGGAGACGTGGGTCGGAGTCGAAAGTGGTGTTTGGCCAGGCCTTCCGGTCGAAGAGGTCGTCCGGAGGCAGGCTAGAGTAGTAAGCGAGCGCTATTCCTCCTTAGCGAGGCCTTCTGGTCGGAGAGGCGGGCCGGAGTTAGAAGCGGGCGCCGTTCCTCCTCGGCCAGTCCTTCCGTCGGAGATTGGATCGCCCTTCTGGCGTGTCGTTTAGGTATTTGGGCTGGCCCAGGAGTTGCGTGTCGTTTGCAATGTTGTCTGCTGGGCCGAGCCTTTGTTGGAAAACCGATCCATGAGGGACCCCGGGTTTATGAACCCGACAGGAGCCCCCGAGCCCCCGGGCGATTCGGGTAGAATCGTCTGGGGGATTTTTGTCTTGATGGCGGGTGTAGCCCCTGAGCCCCCGGGTGATTCGGGTAGAATCGTCTGGGGGTTTTTCGTGTTGCCGGCGGGGAAGTTTCATTTCGTCAGCAGGTGCGCACGAGCGCACCCACGTGTGTAGCCCCCGGGTGATTCGGGCGGAATTGCCCGGGGGTTTTGTTAGCGGGCGTGAGTGTGTGCACTGTAGTGGGCGTAGTCTCTTCTTTTTCAGTTTCTGACCCATTGTTTCCGGGAGTGTGGTCCTAGACGTTTGGTCGCGGTCGAGGGATCGGGCGAGACAGAGTCATGGATCTAGACGTCGAGCGCGACAAGGGATCGGGCGAGTCAGAGTCGCGGATCCAGGCGTCGGGCGCAATGAGGGATCGGGCGAGTCGGAGTCACAGATATCGGCGTCGGGCGCGCCGTGGGATCGGGCGAGTCAGAGTCTCAGACCCAGGCGCTGCCGAGGCATTTGGGTATCTTGAGCCCCTGAGCCCCGTTGGGCTTGGTAGGGGTCGGTTGAGTTTTGTGCGTTACCCTGTCCGTGGTTTCTCGCAACAAAAGGGGCTGAGCTAACGTCGCTTGCCTCAATGGCTCGAGTGACACGCTCGGTGAGCTTGCTAACAGGTACATTCGAGTGAAGTCCGGGTTCGTCGTTCGTGACGGGGTCGGCATAGCCCTCATGTGGCACTCCACCGCTCCTTAACCTGCAACCGGGTAGATGCCTAGGTCGTTTCGGAGACCGACCCGGGGGCCCGCTGGCCTCCCCTCGATGGAGATTCTATGGGTTTGGCGAGAGGTGAGAATCGAACAAGAAGGTTGAGATGACCCTATCTGCTTCTTGGCAGACTGGGCGAGGGCCACTTGGGACTCATCTGTGTTTTCTCCCCTGGCTCTATTTCATGCGGGGTGGCCTCGAGCCCTTCATGGGCCGGCCTTCGAACCCCGATCAGTCGTTGCTCATGTTGAATGAGGCAACTGCCACTTTGTGACGCAATACGGAGCGTTGTGATGCATTTAACTGCATATGCAATGCTTTTGGATGTATGGAATGAATGAATGCATGCGTGGATGAATGAATGTTCATATAAAGAAATAGTAGGGGTTTGGTAATGTTACCTTGATGACTCGAGTGACGGGGTTTGAGGAGCTCCTATCGAATATGTTCGACCGGGATCCACGCTCATCGTTCGTGACAGAGTCGGCATGGGCCACATGGGGTGTCCCTCTGCTCCTTACCTATCTCTCGGTGTTCGCCTGAGCCGTCCGATCGACTCGGGAAGCCCATTGGTCTCTCCTAGTGGAGATCCCATCGTTTGGGCCTTTCCAAGTCCCGCCTGGGAAGGCGGAGGGCTGCCTGCGCGCAGTGGCGCCTTGTTTCTTGCGCCCGGCGTGCGGTAGCGGTGGGCCATAAGCAGACCACTGTCGCAGAACCGACCAATTTATAAGAGTACAAGTACAATGGCGGCCCGCTAGCAGTCGCACTGTCATACTTGAACCCATATAAACCCGGTAGTCCGTCGAGTACCACGACGGGCCTCGATAAACGATTTACAACAACCAAGATCGTACATGATTCAACGTACATGCCACATATTACATAAAGTTCACAGATACATTTTCATCATCAGAGTATGAAACCAGTTATTACAAACCGAGTTTGATAGATAAAAGCGGAAGCAAATTAAGTTTG